ATATATATATATATATATAAATCTGGATCTGCCAATTTCATAAAATTTACTAGAATTTCCAAGTACCTACATTAGTTTACACCGTAGTTTTCTCGGTGTACAAGAGAAGAAAGAAAGCAAGGACGTATCGCTTACCGGGTCTGCAGAGTCGGCTCCAGTGATAAGGGTTGCAGCATATGTATACGGGATCTTTAGCGGAATGACATATAGGTAGTCTCTTGAGCTCCGAGGAGTGCTCGAGATCTGGCCACCGCCAGATCTGGCAACAGAGGAGGTGCGGGTCGCACGGGCCGCCGGTGCTCCTCTCGACTGCTGATCCTCCTCTGATCGGCACGACGGCACCGCTACCGTTTCTCGCCGATCTCATCGGCGACGCGGAGGAGGAGTCCTCCGACGCGGAGCAGCAGCTTTCCTGATCGTCCTCGACGGAGGACGAGCGATGATGCCTGCTGGAGCGGTGGTGCCGATACTGACGATAACGGCGCTGATGAAAATGACGGGTATGATGACGATGCGGCCTGCTGCCGTGATATTGCTGCTGCTCGTGCTGCTGATCGTACGGATAATCCTCGACCTGACGCGGCACGAGAACGCAGGAGCTTAGGTCGGCGCCGTAACTCTCGACGGCGGTGAGTAGCATCTCCAGTTGATTCTCCTTGAGCGACTTGAGGAGTTCCTTACATCTCAGTAACCGACCAGGATCTTGCTGCTGCAGCTGTTGTTGCTGCTGCTGCTGCTGTTCCTCATCGTCATCCTGACTCGTGTCGCCGCCGCAACAGCCTTGATGCAACCTGCTGGCCGCGGTGTTGCGTCCCCCGTAGACCACCGCTCCACCACCTCCTCCTCCTCCTCCTGCCCCTGCCCCCGCGCCGCTCCCCGACAACGTTGGTCCCCGCGCCGTAACCCTACTCACTTGTCGGCCCGTCGTCGTCGCTTTGTTGTTGTTACTGCCCGTGTTGTCGTAGCCGGCGGCGGCGCCGCTCGCGTTGCTGCTGCTCGTGCGATGAAACGTACGTGACGATGAATCCTCTTGAGCTTCACACTCGGTTTCATGCTCCCCACGGACCTTGGCCTTTAGCAGACGTCTAGTGAGCACCGTCCGTTTGCTCCAGAACATCAACATGAAATAGGATTTGCGGTACGCGCATTTGGTGGCCAGTCCTTTTCAACGTAGCCGCCGTAGGAAAACAATAGGAGACTCCAACGGCCGGGGGGGGACTGGATAACACTCACACACACGCGCGCACACTCGTCGCACACGCGCGGTCTTGCACGCGGTCGGTCGCAAGCGAGCAAGCAACTCGCTGCCGGCGACCTTCCTGTTCGAGCACCCTTCTCCGCGAGGTCTCCTTCCTCCTCTTTTTTTTCCTTCTTCTTCTTCTTCTTCTTCTTCTTCTCCTTTACTCCCTTCAGCGAGCATCAAATACGCACTGTCAACGGAAAACACCTCTCCGACGCACACGAAAAAATCACAGACGATGGAGCCCTCACTCTCTCACATACACACACATACACAACACAGCTCGCGTGTATACTTATTTGCGCCCGCGCGCACTTTGGATCACGGTCCCGAAATAGTGTGACAGTCCACAACGGCGGAGCCTCCGATTCTTCTCTCTCTCTCTCTCTCTCCTGTCCTCTCTCCGACCGGCTGGCGACCAAGTGTGCGTTTCTCCGCCGGTGATATTTCCGACTTCCAACGAGCGACGAACGGTCCCGCCTTCTCCTTCGGATAAGTTTTTTTGGCCGTGTAAACGAGTCCAACAGCACTGCCGGCTGACCTTGAACTCTCATTTACCTCTCGTTCTTTCCTCTCGACGCTTCTCAGCTCACGTGTCCTCGCTCAGATCGTCGACGGACATCTCGTAATATCCTCGCGGGCAATCTGTACGACGGCTGTGCGCATCAGCCACTGTCGGCATCGCGGATCGCACCAGTGGACGTTGTTGCCCGATGACGTTTTATAAGACGCACCACGCGGCACGCACGTACGCATGCACGCACACAGCACCGTCACCGTCACCGGCGAAGCTCTACCACCGACGAACGACGAGCGCGTTGCTACTGATAGATGGTCGTGTACGCTTCTTATCCGTCACATATACGACAGAAAGAGAGAGGAGAAAGAAGAGACCAGGCGTGGAGGGAGGCGAGAGAGGGGAAAGGCGATGCGGTGAGAAGAAGAGTGGGGGGGGGCGGGGACGAAAGAGGGTGAGCACGAAACGAATCGGTCGGCGCACGCACGACACCCGGCCTTTACTTTCCTCGGCTGTCGCGTATCGAGGGCGACGCGGTGCCTTAACCTCGCGACCCGGCACACCGACCGGCGGCCGTATACGTTTGCGTGTGCGCGCGTGTGTGTAGGTGTACGTGTGCACTTTACGAGAGACGGTGTGTATACAGTATAGCCCGGCGCGACGTCGCGTCGCGAAAAAAAAATCCCTCTTCAGGAGGTGCCCGCCGCGATTCTTGCCAACAACTGTTGACGCAGCGACAATAAGTAGCGCAACGACGACGACGTAGCCGTCGAGCGGCAGAAGGAGTTCGATTTCGATGATGCCCGCGGCTGCGGAGAGACGCGATAACGTCGTTCCCGGCGACCCGGCGCCCGTGCCGTCGCCAATGCCGGCACCACCGCGTCGGCGGCACCACGTAGCGACGACGACGACCGTCGCTGCCACCACCACCACCGCCGCCGCGGCGACACTCTAACAACCTCAGACTCGTGACCGTCGCTCCGTCGATCACTCCCCGTCATCCGTGCGCGCGTATCACCGAGTGACATTTTCCGCTCGCATCGTCCGTCCTTCTTCTTCTTCTTTTTCTTCTTCTATCTCTCCGTTTCCACAGGCCGCTGTGCTCTTTCACCGTGACACGACACCGCGACGACGGTACCCGACATCCATCATCGCCGACGCTCCGCCGTTGCTGTTCACTGCTCCTCACTCGATGCACCACGTCCGTCCGATTGTCCGACCGTGAGGACACGCACTGTCACATTCTTGAAATCGCTGGCCCCCGCGGGATACGGCGCGGGCAACACTCGCGCAGAGGCGGTACACTCGCGGTTTAAAGTACGAGAGAGCAAGCGCGAACGACGAGGGGGAGGAGGGGGAGGGGGCGAGAGGGGGGAGGAGGGGAGGTGGGAGAAACCGGCGCACAACGACGAGACGGGATCTGGACGTGTAAAGTGTAAACTCGACGGAGAGGGCGAGAGATAGGGTCGAACGCGTATGGCGCCACAGAGAGAGCGGCGCTTCTCCGATGACCACCAGCGCGATGTCGATGTCCCTTACCGAGTTTGCTCCTCTCTACGATTTCGCTTTTCGTCCACCGTCCTCCTGCTCCTTCCTTTTCTATCGCTCGCGCGACGAATCGTTCCAAACGTCGGCGAACGGGACGAACTGTTGCACACGACCGGCCGCGGTGTACGCGATCGCTCCGGAGTCCGACTCGGTTAGGCTCGGCAACGCGACTGGCAGGCACGCACGAGGTTCTCCGTCATGAGCGCGCGCACCGATCTCCCCCCCTCCCCCCTCCCCCACTCTCTTCGACACGTCGTTGCTCCGCTACTCGACCGATCCTTCCCTTTCTCCGTGTCTCCACCGCTTCGACGGCTCGGCTCGGCTCGTCCCGGCACCGTCCGTTCCGTCTGTCCTATCCTCTCTCCCGACGGCGCGCCGATACACCGACCGTAGCGTACTAAACACACAAGAGCGAAAAAGAGACCGTCAAACATGGCGTCTGCGGTAGCGCTACTAACGCTACGGTCACCCGAGTAGCGGCGCTGAGGACTCAGCCGGCGTCTCTCTCGCTCGCTTCGGCGCGGCGCGGCGGCGCCTCGCGAAACCGAGACACGTAGGCCACGCGAATCTCGGCGAAGCCGAAGCGCCGCCGCCGACCTCCGTCCACTTAAATTCGAATTGGAACTTTTACGGCGTTATGCAAATACATGAATCACCTCGCGCGTAGATTTCCTCACGTCTAGATTTGAAATTACCTTCAAATATGCTAAATAATTTTACGTCTCTATTTACATAGTTTTTTTTTGCGTAAAGCAAATGTAGCCGCTTAGGAGTTACGTCGCGATTTATTTACGTGTTTACGTTTCAACGAAAACAGTCGAAGCTTTTCTCCACGTAAGAGAGCGAGCAGATTTAGGCGATAGTGGGTAAACGGAGGGGAAGGAAAGAATTCGATTTTGCTGAAGTTCTAAAAAATTAAGGTAGATACAGATTCGAAAATAATTTTATTAGACCATCAAAATAGTTACGTAGGAATCTCAAGGGGTTCCTAAAGTCGTATATTTTATTGATCGAATACGATTATTTATCTTACAGGTTTTCTTTTTAACTGCCTACTAAGATTAAAAAATTCTTTTCTCAATTAAAGTATAAACGATAGTGTACTCTAAATTGGTTGACTTTATGCCGAAAACGAAAAAAAGTTGGAAAATTATAGTTCCGTTGCCTCTGGCGCGTCGACTCGTAATAATATTTGCTTTATATACAAGTGTTATACTTTGTAAAAACAAACTTGATTTCTACTAGATATATCACGTAAACGAATGTTGAGTTCTCAGAATTAGGTTCAGATAATATGAAAGATTAGTTATTTCGAAAATTATCGTATGTATGGAAGTCCTGTTGAGTCAATAAAACGGACGACTTCACGATTTCCCTCATGTTGAAAAATGTTGCAAAAAATGGTGCTATTGTAGCAATCAATTTGAACGTCCCACATAATTATTTTGGTGGTCGAACAAAATAATGATGTGGAACTCTCAAATTGTGTGTGGTAGACATATACTTCAGTGACAATACTTCAGTGAAACCGTGTCCTTTCCGTGTACGAAGCGACGAGGACGTAAGGCCACCGTCGCCGATGAGCAGACTGACGCCGGCGTCTCCGCGCAACGTCGGCGTCTCGTCAGCGCCAGTCGCCGCGCTGCGTTCCACCTCCGGGGTCAACATTCCAGGACGAATTTCAGTCACGATATCGCACGCGAAGGAGAGATGCCCCACTCACCGGCGAGCACAAAGAAACACCGCGCTATATCGAATGACAAAGGAAACGACTGGAAGACGCCGCGACGCGTCGCGACGCGCCGGCTACGAATTTTTAGAGAACGCGCGTCGTTGCGCGCTGTTTTTCAAGCTGCCATGACGCAAAGCATCTCTCGCAACGTACGAGAAAAGTAATCGCGGAAACGAAATATCGCTTCGGAAGTTTCCCGTCCTCTGCCGAGGTAATAAAAATGACAGTTACACTTTTCTTTTATGTCCATTTTTGTCAATGTAGATTGACTTTAAAATAATATCGGTTTAACTTACTTTTTATATCTTTTTCTAGTTTCAGGAATTCGCAAAAGATAGAGAATAAATTATTGTTGCAATTGTAACTATTGGAAGGAAAAAAGAATTTTTTTTTTTAAATATAAAATGACAACTGTGTAGGCGACAATTATGAAACGAATATTAAAGATCCTTATTAAACGTACTTACCAAATTTCGTAGATCACACTGACGACCGCGCTTATTAATATAGAAGCTTAATCTGCAACACAAATTTATTATATATTTCGTTTTATTATCCATGTAATTACTATCATTCATTTGCTACAACAATGGCACAATTCTGAGAACAAAGTTATCAGAAAATAAATCTGAATGTTTTGAAACATTAATCTTAAAATACAATTTTTTTTGACATAATAACTGATAGAGGAATAAAAGTGTACTCTTTTAAAATTCTTTTTCTCCTTTTTTTTTCTTTTCATTTTTTTTCCGCAGTCAACTAAATAATATTATATATATAATTTAGGAATGTCGTTGTCGTAACAAATAATTACTTTTCACTGCCAACGAAACCTGTTCAAGACTTAACTTTCGGAAGTGACGTCTGAAGTCCAAGCGGACCAAGATGGACCTGGGAAAAGTTTTGGCTGCGGAACGACAGATGGAAAGATCGCATTATTTTTTTTTTATCGTTACATCGGTATCGTTACATCGTTGCCTAATCGATCACTTAATAGCGCGTGTATATACAAATCTTGCAATTTATGTACGTTACCCGAGAGAAAAATATACGCGACGTGTTTAATTGGGATTGCCGTGTCGACCAATACGAGAACGAGGCCGAATAGTTGCAGGTCGAAATGCTAAAAAAGGATCGCGAATGGCATGCCATTCGGTTCGCGTAGAGTCGAGAGGATCGTCGCTCATAAATTTTCTAATTTTAGAAACTCGTTTCGCACGATCCCGTGAACGTAATTTTGTAATAGGCCGCGTATAACCTTCGCCTCGGCGACGATTTTATGATTACGGGAGCCTGTAATTTCGTTTTTCTAATGATCAAAACGCCCCCGTCGTAACGTAGCGTGACACGTCGGGCTCCTTCTCGAAGTGTCATTATGTTTCTTCCGATATTCCGATATGTCCGTATTTCGAAGCTGCCCGGTAGCGACGTTTAGAGAAATGAGATTGTGTCAAACCTGTATTAAAATTGGAATTCTCCGAGCGAACATAAATTGTCCGAAGGTCTGCAATTCAACGGAAGTCACACACGATTTATACATAATAAAAGTAAAAGTAACGAAGCCATTTAATGGCGTTCCAATTTGATACGTCGGCCACCTTAAAAACATGAGATTAGATATTCTCGTCGCTATAATTTGCACTTTGCACGAGATCTCGTGAGTCACAAAAAATTAACTAGAAACTATGATTCGATAAATTTCCTTAAAACGTTGGTAATGAATGCGACAGAAGACAGATAGCAAATAGTTCGTAGAACAGATTATTTCAGACAGACAAACAAATAATAACGCGGCATTTTGTGGGATTGATAAATTAAAAATTAGAGGACATATGTATGAAAGGAAAGTGGGCATATATATATATATAGTGGTTAATGAAATAAAAATGCATACATAAAAAGAAAATATATCGTTCACTTGCTAATAACGACATAATTAAAAGTTCATTATTTTAGTTGCCTTCAGAAAAAGAATGGTAACATTAAGGAAAAGAGCGTAGTTTAAACGAACATTTTGCCACATTAGATTGCGTTTCAAAATTAATTTTAATACTCAGAATATTGAAATTAATTCATGCTCAGAATATTGATATCAATTAATACTCAGAATATTGAAATCTTGAAATATTGAATTTTCTGAACAATTTTGTTTCTCGAGTTATGTCGTTGTAACGACATGGTAATATATGTACATATATATATATATATATATATGTACATATAATCATATATTTTCTTTTTGGCTTTAATCGACTACGACGGAACGAATCGTGGCGAGCAGTGACAGGAATCACATTTGCCAGACTCCGACGCGAACCTGTCGCTGCTAACCCTCTCTATCTCTCTTTCGCAACGAGTCGCGACTTGGGTCTAGACGCGTTATTTCACCCGTCGGAGTCTGCTCCAAAATGATATAGAATTTAGGAAGTTATTTAGTTATGTATGTCTGGCGTCCTGCGTGTGTTGGCTAGTAATCAGACGCCTGGCCTCCGCACGAATGCAATCTCTCTCTCTCTCTCTCTCTCTCTCTCCTTCCCTGCCTCTTTCATCTCTTTCCGTCTTCACCCTCTTCCTTCGCTCCACATCTCTTGTGCTCTCGTTCCTCGCCCGGAGAATAAATTCCCCTCGCTCTCCCTTCCGGCTGGTAAAGCTCTTTTAGTAAACTCTTCAGGGCCGTCTGCGTTTCTCGGTGCCTGGATGTCTCGGCCCAATTAAATGTCGATCAAGGCGGCCCTTATAGCCCAAGGTATACGGACGTTGGGAACAAAAAGTATTCGTTTAGCTCGAACGGTAAGAAAGAAACAGGGAACAAGGGAGGGGGAGGAGGAGGACGACAGGGTGAAGAGTGTCCATATATCCATAACGAGATGCACGAATTATTCCGACTCGAGAATACAAGGCGTCTCTTCAGTAATTCTATATTTACTCCGGCAAATAGATTTTTGCGGAAATAAGGAAAACGAATGAAGGCCTTCTTCGAGCAGATGTCGTAATTTCGAACGATCGTCTTGGCGCACGCACATTGCACATTCCA